GCTTTTGTGTTTTTAACTGGCTGAAGAATTTGGTCTCCTGTCGGTCAGTGAGCCGCTGTCCACCCAGCGGGACAACCCGTCTCCTGTCGGTCAGTGAGCCGCTGTCCACCAGGAGCCTCGGTGGTGCCATGACCCTTCTCCCTCTCACACCACGGGGTCTGCTCCGGTCACGAGTTCCGTTGATTTTACCTAACTTTCTCTCAAGTCCATCCATTTCTTTCTGTCTTTCCCAGCACACCCCTAATCCAATTCCCACCCTCTCTCCTGGGTGACAACGGTCCCTCCTAGCTGGCTCTTTTCTCCCATTCTAGCTGTCTCTCATTCTTTCTCCAGACTGCCAAGCCATAGTGAAGTTTTCAAATAGTAAACTTGGACTCTCCACCCTTAACCTACTCGCTCTTCAAAACCTTGTCTCTTCTCTTACTCTAAAGACCCGTAAGGAGGCCTTGGCAGCTGCTCCCTCCGCTGCCACCACCAGGCCTCTGTCATCAGGGTCCTTGAAGGAGCGCCCCCTCGCCCCCCCCACTTCCTAACTCGCTATCTTTCCGATGTAACACACACCTTCCTTTTCTAGTGCTTGCCCAGTGAGAGCTTGCGCTCCAGTTAGTGTGGACGCGAAGCCCCAGGAGGGCAGGCGTTGTCCGTGTATCAGTACGGAAGGGAGCAGCATGGGCAGCGATTACACAACCTATCATTAGGGATACATACGACTCTGCATCGCAACACGGGCTCTCCAGCACCTTGCCTCATGGTTGGGGAGTATCCCCCCAAGACAGCACAAACACGTTTGAGGAGATGGTTTTTTGTAACCAATATCATGTAGGTTAATTCTTTGACCTAGGTACTTGGAACAGACCAAGACAGTACTGAGGTGTAATGGAGGTTGGCACCAGGCTGGATAATGCTATGCACTCTTTTTTTCTTTTTTTTTTTGCTAGAGGGCACATGTGCTTGCTGGAGAGACAGAGAGAGAGAATGAGGGCGTGAGAAAGCATTCCCCATGGAGGATGGCCATGTCACAATCCCTCTCCTCCATTTGGAATTTTGGGGACAGTTCAGGCTACCAGGTCCAGGACTTGAACTACATTGTCAGCCATGTGGGATCCAGCCGCCTTGATCACCACACCTCTGACTGACCCCATTCTTTAAATAAAAACAAAACAAAATAAACTATAATCAATATGAGGGGATTTCAAAAAGTTCGAGAGGGCCAGCCAACGGCCTGATGTCAAGGAGCTGGACCTCACATGGTTGGCTGCAAGACTTGAGTCCTGGAACCCAGCAACCTGAAAAACACGCCAGGCACGTGTGCGTGCCTAAAATCCCAAAGGGAGGGAACGATGAAGAGAAGTGATTGAGGTGTGACCATTGTCCTTGGGAGGCGCGCTCTCTCTCTGTTTCTTTCTAGCAAGTGAACATACCTCTGACAAATTTTTAAAAAAAAGTTTGTAGAAAATGTAATTAAAAGATAAAAATAAGTGCTACTGGGGACCAGCAGGTGGCATGGTGGTTAAGGCACATGGCTGACCTTGGTCCGAGTCCTGGGCCTGGTGACTTGCTTTCTCACTTTCCTTCTCTCTCTCTCTCTCTGGTCAAATTAAAGTAAGTGAATAAATAAATAAAATCAAAGAAATAATTATTTAAAAAAATAATAAGTGCTATTAACTTTATCTTATAACATAAGCTCTATCCCGCTTCAGACTTTTTTTAAAATTTTTATTTCAATTTATTTATTTGCATTCATTCACCGTCATCATTACAGCATACAAAATGAGATTTTCCATCCAGAGTACACTGTATATTGTCTCAATCAAGCACATCAACAAACATGTTATTGTCAGCAAGTGATCTTCCATTTCTTGTTTTCTGTATGTTTTGCTTTTTTCCCCCCATCCTTGATTCCCTATCTCTTACCCTCTGCCATCTCCCACTCTCCTCCCACACTGTCTCTGGTATCTATGTTTGCTTTCTATACTGTTTCCCCCCCACATTTTATTGAATCACCAAAGACCCTAATCAATCCAAATACCCTCATAGCACACACAGGTGACACACACATTTCCATGAACACAAGTCTAACTAAAAATATGGAACGCTTCACGAATTTGCATGTCATCCTTGCGCAGGGGCCATGCTAATCTTCTCTGTATTGTTCCAATTTTAGTATCCCGCTTTAGACTCTTGTGAAAGTGATGATACCAGCCATTTAGTCTATCTCTAAAGAACTGAAGGTCTGGGCCAGCAGGTGGCGTGGTGGTTAAGGCGCTGGACACTCCCACATGACTGATGACAGTTCAAGTCCTGGATCTAGTGGCTTACTTTCTCACTTTCCTTCTCTCTCTGCGTCTGTCTTTCTCTGGTCAAATTAAAATAAGTGAATGAATAAATCAAATTAAATAAATAATTCTTAAAAAATAAAAAGAATCAAAGGTCCTGTTACTTTAACCATGTCAACGTAGGTTTTTTTTGTTTGTTTGTTTTGTTATTAACTGAGAAAAATGGATGCCCTTTAAAGATTTTTTTCGGGGAGGGGGAGGCCAACAGGTGGCATGGTTGTTAAAGGCGCTGGATTCCCACATGGCTGACAGTGGTTCGAATCCTGGACCTAGCTGCTTGCTCACTTTCTCTCTCTCTCTCTCACTCTGTCCCTCTCTGGTCAAATTGAAATAAACAAATTAATTAATTAAATAATTAAAATTTTTTTTTCTTAGAGAGATTTTTGCTTATAAGGCATGCTTGCCAGAGAGACAGAGAGATACAAGGCAAGAAATCCCCCCAGGTGGATGGCCATGCCACAATCCCTTCTCCATTCTTCTCTGAGGGTTTTTTTCACACATACACATTTCCCGTGTGAGTTTTAAGTCACCAGGTCCGGGACTTGAACAGCAGGGGACTACTTGGGAGTTTAGTGATGTAACCATTACGCCATCTGCTGCCCCTCCCCCCTTAAAGGCTTTTTTAACATTAGGAAACAAAAAGAAGTCTTGTGAAAGTTTTTTGAAATCAAAATGGAATTGTTTGTTGGCCTTGACTAAAACAAGCCAGGAAGGCTGCAGCGATGTTTTCTCATGCTAGCATGCCTGGAACAAGAACTGCTACTGGGCTAGCAGATGGCATGGAGGTTAAGGTGTTGGATCCCCCATGGCCGGCTCTGTGGGCCCGGAAGCCTGTAAACCCACCTATAACTTACTACAAGCCCCCTCTCCCCTGCTTCCACATGTTCCACCTTTTTGGGCCAGACCAATGGAAAAACTCTTCGCTAATCCAAACCCTGTCTCTCACTCTCAGAATAAAAGAAAAGCAACCCTTGTACAGATCAATCCAAGAAAGGCATGCTTTGCCTCCTCTCTGTGCCTAGGTCCCTCATATTCTGCTTAGAATTAAGCCACATTATTATTTTGAAAGAGCTGGTTATTTTCCGTCGACAGTGCATATTATCAGGTCATTGGGAAAGTCGTGATGTATTTTCCTATGTAAAAATGCACCATGACTTCTTGACAACGCAATAGATCATGTGTGATTAGTGCGAGTTTACTTCAGTGCAAAAAATAATAATATACATATCAATATATATTCCCCATTTTCTTCTAAAAATGTCAAAGTTTTCTCTTTTACATTTAAACCTTTGTTCTTGCTGAAACTGACTTTTCTATGTGGTATGAAGTAATAATCCCTGTTCCCCCCCCCATATGAATAACCAATTGACCTACTGTTATCTATTGGATTTTTAAAAAAAGAATTACTTTTTAACTTTATTTATTCATTCATCTTAATTTGACCAGAGAAAGACAGACATACAGAGAGAAGGAAAGTGAGAAAGCAAGCCACCAGGTCCAGGACTCGAACTGTGGCCGGCCATGAGGGAGTGTCCAGCGCCTCAACCTCCACTGAGTATCTCGGAACCAGCAGATGGCTTAGTGGTTAGGGTGCTGGACCCCCCCACCCATGTGGCCGACTGTGGATTGAGCCCAAGACCCTATGGCTTCAGCATCATGCTGGGTATGTGTGTGCATGTGCCCAAAATCCCAAGAGGAAAGTAGAGAAGGGAATGCAGTGTGGTCATCCCACTGGGGGGTGCTTTCTCTGTCTCTCTTCAGCCAGTCCTATAGCAAAAACTCTTAAAACCACAAGACGGAGTAGTTCCCTCCCTGATGTGTAAAATACCCTCTGTCACAGATGAAGTTAAATAAGTGCCCGCGTCTGTTAGTCTGTGAGCCCGCTGTCTTTGGCCACTTTGGCTCTATGGTACGTTGGTACCTTTGCACTAGCTACTAGCTAGCTGAATAAAGACGGGCCAGCCACTTTTTAAAAATGTCTTAAGGGGTCAGCAGGAGGCATGGTGGTGAAGGTGCTGGATTCCCACGTGGCTGACCACACAGTTCAAGTCCTGGACCTGGTGCCTTGCTTTCTTCCCCATCTTCCCCAAATTAACAACAAACAATAATAATACATAAAAATAAACAGTTCTTTTTAGGAAAATGTCCCTAAGACAGATCATCGTAATACCTACACTCAGGGCCTCCACAGGCTAAGGTAAGTAAGAACGGTGTGTCACGTACCAGGTACAGAGTAGGGTAGCCTTTGTGTGGACCGTGGGAAGGAACGGAGGAAACAAAATTAAGGCTTCAGTCTCGGGACGCTTCAGTGCCATCTATACAAAGCAGGGGGGATGAGTTAGCATACTATTTTTAAGGCTTTTGGCTCTTATAAAACTGAGATGCTGGCGTTCTAGGTGTGGAAACCCGACGGCACCTTCTGTGCTAGGCAGAAGGGCGAGGAGGGAGAAAGGCAGGATGCAGGGTCGAACCGTGAGCAAGCAATTATAAAACGCTAAATGTCCCAACAGATAAGGCTGGGGGCGGCAGGCCGCGGGGCAGAAGCAGGCTACGGT